ATTTATTCCTTACAACAACCCAAGGAAGGAGGTAATCACCCCCACTTCACAGTGAGCAAACAAAGGCACGTAACGCTTTAAAATGTGCTCACAGTTGCCTGGCCAGTAGGTGGCAGAGTTAGCATCTGCACCCAGGCTACTGGCTCAGAGGTCATGCTTTTAACTGCCCCGCTTGCTTTACTAAATGGAGGACAGATCTTAGGGGGAGAGTTTGGTGCAGGCCGTCAACATGGCAGCCATCTCCTGAGGAGCGCTTGCCACGGGCTAGGCGCTGGGCCATGGTACTATTACAGATGGCGGGGCTGGCTCAGAGGGGTGAGGGGCTGGCCAAAGCAGCCAGGTCCTTTCCAGCTTCTAGGCCCACACTCCGACACCCCCGCCTAATGGCTCCCCGGAGCCCGGCACAGTCCCCTGTGCCTGGAGAGCAAATGGTCAGGAAGAGGAAGCAAAGCAAAGGTCTAAGCACCCCGCTTCTAGCCCTTCCATCACTCCAAGCTCTGCTTCGGCCTCAACTCCCCGCCCAGGGCGAGCTAGCGACGCTGGGAGCTGGTGAGAGGCTCGAGCAGCTTCTGCCAACGCCTCCCACCCAAGACACTGAGCCTCGCAGGGGGCTTAGGACGAGCTGTGTCCCTGGCAGCTGCGGACTGCACCCCTGACGTGAGCTCATCTGTGGAGGGCCCATCAATTTCTCGCTACCAACAGCCCCACCGGGCAACTCCACCAGTTTGCTCTGGAGCTAAAGGCTGAGGTATGGGCAGATCATGGCCACAAGCCTTAGGAAGTGGGGGAGCCCTTTATGGTTCTGAGGGAGGGAAGTGGCATGATGCTGAGAGAAATGATGAAGGTGTGAACTGGGGAGTGGTAGTAGAGTCAGAGGAAGGGGATGGATTCCTGAACTAGTTGACTCTTGTGCAATGTGGGAGTTACGGGCACCGACCCCCCTTTCCCCCGTACAGTTGAAAATCCACATATAACTTCCGACTCCCCCAAAACTTAGCTATTAATAGCCTGCTGTTGATTGGAAGCCTTACTGATAACATAAACAGTCAATTAACACATATTTGGCACGTTATATGCAGTACATACTATATTCTTAGAATAAAGTAAGCTAGAGAAAATATTAAGAAAATCGTAAGGAAAATACATTTACAGTACCGAACTGTAAAAAGTAAACATATAGGTGGACCGAAGCAGTTCCTGTTGTTCAAGAGTCAGCTGTACTTGAAGGTCAAGTTGGTGGGACTTTGTGAATGACTGGGCATAGGCATCGCAGAGAAAGGGAAGAATCAAGAATTCAATGACCTCCAGGTTTCTGGCTTGAACAAGTTGGTGGGTGGGGTTACAACCAATTCAGACAATGAATATAAAAGCCAATTAAAGATGAGCTTAATCTTGGACACACGTATTTTGACAGGCTTGAGGCACCCAGTGGAGGATCCGGCTGAGAGCCAGGTAGACAAGCCTGGAGCTCAAGGGTCGGGTCTGGGCTAGAGAGAGATTCTAGAGTCAATACCAGAAAATCACAAAGGGGAACAGACTTTCAGGGAGAGTTCTTAGACATTAAATATTAGATTGAGTCATGTAAGCTGGGAATGGAAGCCTGAGAAATAGCAAATATTTAGGGAGAAGTGAAGGGATGGTCAGAAAGGGCAAGGAGGACCAAAGAGGCAAGGTCCCAGAAGCCAAGTAAAGAATTTCATTAAGGAAGAAGGATCACAGAATCATATGTAGTGGGGCGGGGGGGGGGGGGGTGCCAGAAAGAGAAGAACCAAGGACATCCTCTGGGTCTGGCAATTAGTCATCAATGACCTTGCCTCTGGAGGGCTTGGGGTGAAGGACCAAAAGGGCAGGAGGTGGACGTGAAGCCCATGGAAGTTTCTTTGTAGGGCAGAAGACCTGAAAATGTTAACAGGCCGAGAAGGACCAGGAAATAAAGTGAGGTTGAAGAGATGATAGAGGTCCCAGAAAGAAGGGGATGGGTGAGTTGGCTTTGAACAGGAGGGACATACAATTCCCAAGACCACAGCAAAGGAGACCAAGATAAGTATGAAGAAAAACTTGCAGAGGGGAGTAAGGAAGTTGAGAGATCACACCCACTGGTCTTGATTTTCTTGAAGTAGCAAGATAAGATCTTCTAGGGTAGGGAGAAGGGGAAATACAGGAAGGTTGCCTAATGACCTCCAGAAGGATTCACACCAAAGGATTAATGCTCCCCCACCCCCACCACAAAGGTAGGGAGGAGGTGGGGGGTGGAAAGCACAAAACTCTAGTCTTTCATAAGCAGAGCAGAGCTGCCCAGGGAGGAGCAGAGAAGTCAGGCTGGGTTGTGGATCCATGGTTGTGGAGTTTTGCTGGTGGATGAGTATGGTGGATACAAGGAAACAAAGAGTACAAGGGAGACGGGAGGGGGTCTGAGTGAGGAACAGAGGAAGCGTGCTGGCCTCTCCCTGTCCGTTCCCTGCGTGTCACTTCCCTTTGAGCCAAACGAGGATGAGTGCCAGCCTCAGACCATGGAGACCAATTCTAAGGCTCTAATCCCCGGGGCCAAACCAAACCAGTGTCTTCCAGGTAGTTCCAATCCATTACAGAAGAGCATGTCTGGTGGGTTTGATGGGAAACACAGGATTTCTGAGCATGACACTAACAATCATGTCACACCACATGAGACAGGATAGCGTGTCACTTCTGATCTTTTCTGTCATCAATGGCAGGGATCCTAACTTCTGTTCCAGGTGACCAGCAAAGCAGTAAACTCTCCTTCTGCTGGGCCCCCTGTTCTTTCAACAACCATAGAAAGATGAGGTACACTCTGCAGTAGTTGTCTAAAAATCAATTTTTTGTGTGTGAGGTGAAGCATATTTAGATATTTGGCTACTAGGAATTCCTATGTAAAGTGAACAGTCATTCTAATTTTTTATATTAATTTATCTCCAGATATTTTGCTTATTTATGGTGACAACTGCTTGCTTCATATCAAATCCTTAAAACCACCAAAGCCTGGTTGGATGATCTGCAGGACTTAACCAAAACTCAGAGACACACAGGACTCAAGGTTTCCCCTAGGTGGTGTGGTTTAGTGGGGACCCAACAGCGTTAGACACCCATTTCTGGATTGGTTATTCTCAACAAGTTAACACACCCATCTGCCCACTTTAGAAAAGACCCAATTTTGTCTGCCCCTTGAAGTGCACATAGCCCCATTGTGAAAGAATCACATTGCCCCCCCGGCCAGGCTTCGAGAGCAGTGGGTGGCCCTAGTGGGTGCTGCGTCTCTACCAGGCAGACAAACACGGTAGGAACCAGGGCTGGCTCCTCTGCCTGGCCTCCCATCCGGGGCACATGTAGCTCCTGTCAACCCCACCGTAAACCTTCATGCTGGCTCAGCATATCTGCGCAGGATCCCACAATCATTCTGGTCCCTTCTCTGCTGTGTCCCTCACTTGCTTCCCAGGCCAACTCCCAAGTCTCTGCTCTTCCCGGAAGCCCCATCTGCATGTTCACCCCCTCCCATCCCCTTTAGTGCTTATACTGGACTTTGAACTTGGGCAAATCTTGGCCAACTGAAATCCCCACCTCACGTTTCTTCTCCCGGCCCCCACCTCTCACCAAGAACCAGCATGGGGCTCTGCACACAAAGCTTCTCAATACCTGTTTGTTCGCACAACCCGAGGGCAGAAACTTCAATTAGCCCCCTGGTCCCTCTAGGTGCACTGTTTCTGCGGGGTCTTGGATGCACCCCGCGCTGCACTTGCCAGGAGGGAATGGGGGACCCCTGACGGTGCACACATTTGCTGCTCCCAGGCAGTTCTGTTTTCCTGGCTGCCCCAGCCCCTCTGAAGAGCTGTGGGTTTTCATGAGGGAAAACGTATGGATTTTGCAGCAAGCACTTTTTACTGCATCTGTATCTGTATCTGCTGATACAGCACTTTGTACTGTATCTGATACTGACAGCAGGCCCTGTTCAGAGTTTAAGGGGGAATCTCACAAAGATGAAACACAAATCAAATCTCAGGGTAACTGCCCAGGGCCTGTGGATAGAGCTTCTGAGGAGCCGGTCCCCACCTGTCAAGCGAGCAGGAATCCTGGCAAGCCCCGGGCCTCTGCCTGGAGCCCCCATGGGCCCTGCCACAGCCACCAGGACTGTCTAAGGTCTGCTTCTCTGCACGGACCTAGTAAGGACCCCTGTCCCCTCTCTGGGACACAGCGTTTATCAGATCACTTGCGAAACACTCCCAGCTCTCTAGATCTCCTGAAATCCAGAAAGTGAGAGAAATCAGACAATTTAATGATGGCTTCCTTGGTCTACAGACAATGGAAGGACAAACATTTCTCTCCATGCACTGGTACAATGAATCAGAGACGAGCAACAATCCCAGGACAGGCGCTGGGGTATTCAGACCCACTGCTCGGCCTCCCGGTCACGTGGTCCCACCAACTGTGTGGCTCAGCGACTGCAAACCTGGGGAGGTGGGGGGACGGCCTGGCCTCCTGAGGTGGGAGTGAGGGGCCAGGGGCCACAGGGAGCAAGGTGCAGCGGCACTGTTGTGCGTTGGTGGAAGGGTGTGCGTGGGGGGGGTGGGAACAAGTGTCTGGGTGTGCCCTGAAGACAGGGCAGCTCAGTGGCGTCAGCTGCCCCATCAGAGCCGTCCTGAGGGCTGGAAGCAGGCTGAGCTGGGGCTGAGGTATCGGGGTCGGAAGGTGGCCAGAAGTACCAGGCAGAGAAGGGGCACATGCTGACCGCTTCCCTCCCACAAACTGAGTTCTTGATGACCCAGCTCCATCTTGCAAAGGGTAAGGACACTCCCAAGATTTGGAGCTGAAGGGGTGGCCAGGCGTGAAGTAAGGAGGTACAGACTGTTCTAATCCTGAGGCCACCTGAAGCGTCTCCGCTCTGTTCTGGCCTGCCACCCCCTCCCCTCAAGCCCGAAGACTGGAGCAGGCAAACCCGAGATCAGGGACCCCACCACTCTTCCCAGATTCCATCGGCAGACGACACCTTTTCTAAAGAGAGGGAGGAGAAGGAAAAAGGCCATGGGCTTCTAAAGAGAAATCCTGGGAAGGGTGGCACCGAGGGCTGGGGAAGGGGCCTCTGGCTCCGTCCAGCCCTGGAAGCTGGCAGCTGTGGCCGCTGGTCCTTGACCCAACCTCGCCAGCCCACCTAGCTGAGCATCTTGTGCCGATCGAAGACTGTCTTGCGCTGCTCCTGCACCTGCAGCTTCCACCGCTGCTGAGCGCCCTCCACGCGCTCCAGGACGGTGTTTGCTCGAGGGCCCCCCAGGGAGGCAGTGGTGGCAGCCACAGAGCGAGCATCCTGCAGGGGGAAGAAACAAGAGAGAAGGTTCAGCACGGTGAGCCAGGGCGGGTCTCGGAAATCCGACGCGGAAAAAATGCCCTTACAGCAGTCCCAAAGGCTGAGCTCCCCCCACTCAAGACTGGGAGGCTGAGGCGCCTGGGTGGCTCAGATGGTTAAGCGTCTGCCTTCGGCTCAGGTCATGATCCCAGAGTCCTGGGATCGAGTCCCGCATCGGGCTCCCTGCTCCTTGAGAGCCTGCTTCTCCCTCTGCCTCTCTCTCTCTCTCATGAATAAATAAATAAAAAGTTTAAAAAAAAAAAAAAAAAGACTGGGAGGCTGGACCTCCTCGACGGCTGGGGGCGGCTCGAGGGCCTCGCCCAGTGCACCAGGCCAGTGGCAGGCTTGGTGTTCAGAGAATGTGTAGGGCGCCCTGGGAAAGGGGGCGCTCTGGGAGGAGCATGATCTAGGGCCCCAGTTACCACACAGCTGTAGTTCAAACTGGGTCCCTGATTGTACCCCACTGGCCGATTTCTAACCCTCAGGAGGAATACTGAGTGTTGGCCTCAGGACTTCATGGGGTCAGCGCAGAAGCCCTGATGCCCTTTGTGGCTTGAGGAAACGCATTGGTGAGTGCCGGGGCAGGCACCAGGCTGCAGAACCCCCCCGCCCTGCCAGCCACCGCCCAGGGACAGCAGGAAGACCCAGGTGCTCGGGCCTGGCTGCCCGGGGCAGGGAGCACATGGGTGCCAGTGGGGAAGATGGGCCCACCGAGGAGTGTGCACAGACACTGCTCTGCCAGGGGCTGGGACACCCGGCCGACTGCCCCCAGGAAAGAAGGCACGTCCCTCACTCAGGGAGTCTGGCAGGGATGGAAATCCACCCCAGCACTCCCATTCCAGAACCTGCCCTGGCCCACTCTCCTCTGACAGGTTAGGATAGCTCAGCTCCTCCTCTGTGTGCCCCGCTGATCCCCTTCCCCTCTGCTCTCGGAACCGCTTCTGTTGTCAAAGGCAGCAGGTCCCCTAATTACCACCTCTCTGCCTCTGAAGCTCCGGAGCCCATGCATTTCCTGCAGGACCCCAACCTGATCTTTGGGGGGAATTAGAGCCGAGGGCCAGGCCCACACCCCCGTGGGGATTTCCTCCCTCGCTCTCCCTGCCTCTCATCTCCTGCCACACATCTCTTAAGGGATTAGCACACCTCTCTAAGCCCAGAGCCGCCCAGTAAATGCAACTTTGCTTCTAATGCCCCGCGCTGGCACAGCTTCTGTCGCCTCGCAGCTGCAAGGCTGGGGAGAAGGGAGGGGTGGGTGAGGCGACGGGAGGGGAGGCAGAGAGCTGGCAGTTGCAGAGAGGGGGCCGGCTAGGGGTGAGGCTGGGAGGCAGTTCACTGTCGCCGCAGAGCTGAGTCACTGTCTCGTGAGGAACAAGGCCTCCCTGGGGGGCCCGGGTCCAGGACCCTGAGGAAGGCTTCCTGGGCCCGCAGAGCTGCCGATCCCAGCAACACCAAGGACGCAGGTGCTGACAGCCTCGGGCAGGGGCCACACTGAGCCCAGAGTCAGGACTCCTGGGTTCTAAACTGGGCTCCGAGGGGCCATCTTCTCCCTGTCTCAGGTCCCACGCCCCCCCAGCCCCCCAGGGGGCCCATCTCGGAGGCCTACAGTGGGAGCTGGGACAGAGCCACCTGGCAGCTTTGGGTCCCTGGACAGGTGACTATTTCTCCAAGCTTCAGTTTAACAAGCCAGTCTTTGCAGACTTTTTTGACTGTACTGTCAGCAGAAATAACATGTACCTCATGACCCAGTGTGTGTGCACAAACATATGCATACGCAGTAAACAAGTTTTAAGTATGAGGCATTCTGGTATTCTTTGCTCTGCTCTCCTTCATTTTTTTAAGATGCTGGTTATGATTCACAACTGATTTCATGACCTAATGGCTTGTGACCCATACTCTGAAAAACAAGGTTTAGGATGAGGAGATGGGTACGGCAAGGTTAAATAAAATCACATATATAAAGTTCTTAGTACTCTGGCCATCACGGAGTAGGAGCTCAAGAAACGTTTCGTTTTCTTCTTCCCTGGCAGTTCAGCTCAGGGGTTGAGAACACTGTGGAATCAGACAAACCCAGCTCTGAATCTTGGCTCTGACGCCTACCGGAATAGGACCCTGGGCAGGTCAGCTCATTCTCGGAACCTATGTCCCTATCCGTAAGACGGGGACGGCAAGAGATGCCTCTTCGTGAGACCGTGAAAGCAAAGCCTTTGGCGGCGCCTGGCAGACAGCAAGTGCTCAATTCACAGCAGACACTAGGGGCCTCTGGGGTCTCCGAGGCAGGAGAAAGGGGGAGAGAGTTGGCAGACTGCTGCCAGAGGGAGCTGACTTTGAAAAAGGACCATGGCACCACACCACTTTTCAATGCCGTCCCTTCCTGGTTCAGCTGCACCAGCCGGCTGCTACCGGGGGCCAAGGCCAAGCCTCCGGGTGGCCGGGTAGGGGAGATGGGCACTGAAGCCCCACTGGGACCTGGCTGCCCTGGTTTCGGGGGCCCAAGGGGCTTCTCTCCCTCCCCATCTCTCATCTTGTCCCTTCTGGGGCCCACGAGGAGTGCCAGGGTGTGAGCCCCGGAGGCAGGCTTGGAGGGATGGGCCGGCCTCAGCCCAGCTTCTCGTTGAGGGCTCTGCAGCTCAGAGAACGTCTTGAGGAGGGGAAGGCAGAGGAAGCCAAGAGCAGAGCATTAAGGGAACATGCTGAAATTCACCGCATGACCACAGTATCATTTGTTTCCCCTTCATGTAAAGTCTTAACAAACAGCTCCTAAGTGGGGGAAAGCTGTTGCTGAGAGGCTCCGTGTTTCCACCGCTAATAGTCTGATTAAAAGGTATTAAAGCTTCCACGTCTGTTCTAGAGACGGGCCCAGATTGGGGCCTCATTCTTGCCTGTTCTGGGGCAGAATGGCAGCTGGAAGGGGGAGAGAAATCACACCATTTCTAGCCCCTTCCCTCTGAGGCAACTCAGGGAGGCGGGAGGGCAGCTACGAGAGGAGGAAGGTGCCTGGGTCCCGACGGGGTGCCAGGGGGTGCCCGGTGCGACCAGACTAGCATGGCGATGACAAGTGTCACTGTGTGCCATGGGCTCTGTTAAGTACTTTACGTGGATTCTCCCCAGGCTTGGGGGTACTGGGTAACATTACTCCCATCTGCAGACAAGGAAACTGAGGCCCAGGTCACACAGCCCTGTGGTGGCTGAGCGGGGGCTGGAACCCATGTCTGTGTTCTCCTACCCCAGCACTCTGCTGGCTGCTTCTTTGGCTGGTTGCTCCTAAGAGGAAGCCAACATGGAAAGACAAAGAAGCAAGCCGGTATCTTTCCACAAGATCAGAGTAAGCACAAAGCGCCGGTAAAGGCACCAGGAATCAGGGACCTCAGGCCAGGCTCTCCTCTCCGGGCCTGGGAGGCCCCAAATCCTGGTGTGCACAGGCCAGAGCTGACGACCACTGTCAACGCGGCCCAGTGGAAAGCTCCCTGGCCCGCGCAGGAGCACTGGGCTGCGGACAAGGGTCGGAGGAAAAGAATCCCCACTTAGAGCTATGCTCCCTCCACCCTTCCCCCAGTCCCGGGAGTCGGGGCAGGACAGGCAGTGCTGTCACTTACCCGGTCACGCAGCTCGGAATGGCCCGGGTACAAAGCCCTTCCGAAAGGGGACTACATGGCCGCCCTCAGTTTTCCAAGTTTAACCCAAATCCTTCCCGCTGTAGCCAAACCCCGCCACTTCTCTGCTGCAAAGCTCTCCCTGACTCCCACTTGCTGCCAGCCATGGTCCTAGGACATCCCACAATGCCGTGCTCCCACGCAGACATGCTGCCTGCTGACTCGGCTACTCACATAGAACCCATGTGGGCACAGCCTCAAGGCCTCTGGGCTGGCTGAAGCGCACACCCCCCCATGCCCCACAGCCCTGCAGCCACCCTGGTCCACATGGCAGCCCCTCACTGCCTAGCCTTTGCTTGTGCTGCCCCAGGCCTTCCCTCCAATAATCACCATGCCACTGATGTGCTCAGACCGCACAGAAAGGTCTCATTCTTAGGAGAGAACAAATACTTGTCAAACTGGTGCACACATTATCACAGTGATATTGAGGTTAGAACAATTACAGCCATTCCACATGGAGAAAAGTACACTAAGAGATTATGCGTCATGGCTAGTAACTGGCAGAGTTGGACTCCAACCCAGAGCTATGGTTCCAAAGCCCTGCTCCTGACAACAGTGCTGGCAGCCTCCCACTGGACGCTCTAGAAAGGGCTACTGCATCACACACTCTTCTGTCCTCCCCCAAAGAACTGTCCCCATCAGTGTGTCTTCTTCACGTGTCTCCGTCAGCCTTCCAGGGCCAGGGCACTCAGCTGTGTGCTGCCCAACCATCCCTGCAGAGGAAGGACAGCTGTCCCGGGGACCCTGAACCTTCTCGTCACTCCGGCTCCTTCACGGCCCCAGGTGCCCTCATCATCACCACCATTCTTCGGTTCCCCATATGTCCCTCGCGCACCAGGGGCCCCGAACTGCACCCAGCCTCCGCGAGCTGAGATCTCTGAGGACCCCTCAGAGCCCAGGGTGCCCACGCTGCGAGTAGCAGAGACACCCAGAGCCACGTGGAAACCCTTATTTCTCGCTCTTCAAAGAGGCCCAAACCCGTACATCTAAAAAGCTCTGTTTGCCGTTTTTGTCCCAGCAAACATGCTTGCTTCCTCCTTTCAAAGGGTGTCTGAGCCTGGGGATTAAGTCTAATGCTGCCAGAATCCTAGGGGAGGCAGTGCTCAGCAATCAGGGACCACTGAGGCCTGCCAGCACTTTCAAAGGGAACACGACAGGCTTTCATCTCCCTCCTCGGGGGCGCTGGGGCTGGGGCTGTGGGGGAGGCCTCCCTTCCTCTTCCAGACCTCTTGCCCTAGGGCAGGAGAGCTCCTGGCTACAGGAATTGGGGGAATGGAGCCAAGGGCCCCCAAACCTGGGAAGTGATCCAATCCCCAGATCTAATCTCTGATTGGATCCCAGACTTGGTGGCACAGAGCCCGGACAGTTTCCTCCCCAAGGTCACTGAGTTATAGGGGCCTAGGCAAACTTCCAAAGAACCTGAGAGGTCCCGTTCCAACTTTCTTCCTTTTGGAGTGAAAGCTAGATCCCTTACCCCAGGGGAGACCCCATCCTTCTTGCTTCCTTCTTAAGGGAAACACTCTCCAGACCACTAATACCCCGGAGACACAGCTTCAGCCCTGGCTCTGCCACTGTTTGGCCAGGTGGCCTTGGGACCTGCTCTCCTTGCCCCCCACCCCCACTCCCTGCCCCATGTGCACTGAGAGAGGTGGGTCAGCAGAGTCCCCCCCACCACCCAAGGCTGGGACACTGGACAAGATCGTTGGCGCTGACTCCAGTGTCCCTACAGCAGCTGAGCTGTCACTCTCCCATGCGTCCTCTGAGCTGGCTCAGAAGACCCCCTCTGCCAGGAAGGCTTCCTTCCCAGACTAACAGGAAGAAGAGAAGTCCCCAGCCCCTGTCTAATAAAGAGCTTGCCAAAGTACCTAGCTTTCTCCCTGACTGCCATCTCCTAACACCTGATCTCACCCACTGCTTTATGGCTCATTCACTTGGCTTGGAGTCTGTCTTGGGGCTTCAACCGCTGAGGACAGACATGACCTCTGTAAATCTACACAGTGCGGCCCGCAAGAGTTGAGAGGCCAGAGGGAAGAAGAGAAGCCCCGTGCATGGGAGAAAAACGGAGTGGCTGAACCCCCAGGAGGGATGACCTAGGAACACCTAAGTTGCGGGCACCACATAGAATCATGAGGTGAAGGGATGGGGAGCCAGGCCAAGTGCCGAGACTAAGGGGCAGTGTGTGCTATGGGTGCTGAGCGGGTGAGCAGACCCCACTCACAGCTGCCCCAAGGTATTCCCTTAACCACCCTCCAGGTACTGGGGAGCTGCACTCTGTGCAGAGATGGCTGTAGCTCAGGTCAGGGCATCAGAGACTGACCACCTTTTATTTCCTTCTAGAACGTTGGGGTAGCAGGTGAGGGGTGTCATCCCTCCCATCTCTCTCTCCCAGGGCAGGAAATCTCCCCTAGAGTGTGTAGCGTGGGCTTGCCAGCTTCAGAGCTGCCTAAGGCACCCCACTGCCTCCCCAGGCCCCCAGGGTACGTGGCCAGAAAGCACTTCCTTATAGGGCAATCCTCCTCACTCGGCCCAAATCTGCACCCAGGGAATATACACCCTTGGATTAGGGATCTGCTCTCAGGAACTGGTTGGCCACATCTAACCCCCCTCTCCCCTTAAAGCCCCCTCACACAAACAGCGACAGCTCTGACTTACGCCTCAGAGTGGGAAGCACCCCGGGTCTCCTGGGGGAGAGGGGCCTGGGCCTAGACCCAGAAATGGCAGGCTGCCCTCCCCTGTGGCACCACATCCAGGACGGCAGGAGACACAACAAGGCCATGCCTGAGAGCCATGCATTCCAGAGAAATCGCAGCACGGGCTGTGTAATCACGGGGCTGCATCTCTCAATTAGTCCCCCAGCCAGGACTGCAATTACCACATTACCCCTAATCACCGAGTGTTTATTAGCGATGCCCCTCCCCATCAGAGCTGCTATTACTGTACATTAATAACCAGGTAGGCACGCAAGGTTTCCTCTTGAACACACAAGGCCGCCACCCCCCAGGCCCCAGCTCCAAGAGGCGAGGCTGATCCTCTCTACTTCCCTTTCGGCCAAACTCATGTCAGCGGGAGACTGGGGCAGACTGGGAGCGGTCCAGCCACATACCCAGGAGAGGCAAGAGGGCCCGTGGGATGGCCAGGCCTCCCTCCTTCCCCGGCCTTGTCCTCCTGCTTATGCTGGCCCAGACCCACAACGCCCCGTGGCTGCACACGGGAATCTGAGCCCCAGACCCTCTTGGGGGGGCGAGGGACCCGGAGGGACCCGCCCTTTCCCATCTCCAACCCGGTGCTTGACATGTTCTAAACTGTGACCACCTGGTGGCAGTTTAGCCGATGCCTGGTGATTTCCAGTGACCCCAAACACACTCGCTTACGAGGGAGCCCACCCAACCCATTATCAACTGTGTCATCTGCAAGAAGACTTCTTAGATCGTGTTAAATCTCCCTCTCCTAACTCCCAACTATGGGTCCTTGTACCGCTGGCTTTACCGGGGGTGAGACTAAGCTCTCTCCCACCAACACTGGAAGGCTGCTATCATGTATCTCCTTGAGTTTGGTTTGGTTTTTTTTTCTTCAAGCTCAACACCTCCCAGTTTCTTCAACTTATTCTCCCAGGACATGGCTGAGATGCTTCACCCTACAAGCCCCTTTGTATGTGTGCTGGTTCCCGCACTCCATCCCTCAGTCTGGAATACACAGCATCTTCCAGCCGCAGGGAGCACTAAGGTCAGAGCTGACAGACTGCTCTGTGCCCTCCACAATTGCCCGGAGTAGTACCCCCTCAGGGTAGCGCAGCGGCGAGGCCTGCCCTGCCTTCGCATACCATCGCTCTGAGGCTGCCGTGGCGGCTGTGTGGTCCCACAGAGGGGGAGCTCCGGGCACAAAGGATGAGGAGCCTCCCTGGGAGAGCGTGCTGGCTCACCGCACCCCTGCTGGGCCAGCCGCACACGCGCACCACCTCTCACTCCCACCAAGAGCTTCCTCTGCAGGGCACCCGTAACCCCTCCGCATGGGGACAGATGGAGGAGGGTGACAGTGGCTGCTAGCCATGCCAGGCCTGGCCTAAGCCCCACCAACCCTGACCTGAGGGGTTCGCAGGCTGCCTGGGGTCAGTGGTTCCCTTCATTATCTAATGGCGTTGAAACTCCTTAGCCTGACATTTGAGGCCAATGACAATCTGGTCTAAACTTACTGGCCAGCTCTATTTGCCACAATTCCTACATGCCTACCTTATCCTCGAAATGCTCCAAATTCCTCAAGCACCTCAGCACCACTATCTACCTTACTACTCATTGGCCCTTAAAATCCTACTTTTCCCTTAAGGTGCCCAGGTTGTGCTTTGCATCGAGCAGGCACTCAGCAGATGTCTACAGAATCACTAAAGAATAAACGTGCTATCTCCAAATCTACCACCCACTTGACACTTGCTCAGTGTCTGAGCAACCAGGATATGATGTGCGTCTACATATGACTGGCCCTGGTTGGTCCATTTCCCCTCAGCCCGGAAAGGCAGTACAACGCAACATATGCCCCTGCCACCACCCCACAGCTCATGCATCCAGGCTGATGCCAGGCATCAGGAACACTGCAGGGCCACCTCCTGCTTCATGTGGAAGTGCAACAGGTGGTTCCCTGCTGAGGAGAACTCTAGAGTCTGGGTGACGTGTAGGACACTGAACAGGAGAAGAGCAAATTGGAGCATGGGGGGTGAGGGACATGGAGCCCCACCTAGGCCTCCGTGATGCTATTCTGGTTCTGCCCTGGGGACTCACAGGCTCGGAGCCCAGGGCCCCAACACCCAAAACCCCAGTTACCTCATTCTCCTCCTCATTGTGCAGATGTTCGGTGTACGCATCCGGCTTTCGAATGAGAGGGTCCACCAGCATCAGGAAAGCCATGTAGAGCAAGAGGGCCCCCACCACTGACAGGTAGATGACAATGATGACCTGAGGGAGAGAGCCAGCCGGCCCTGTGAACCAACACCCCGGGCCAAGACGGCCATGCGCGTTCTGCGGCGACAGGGGTTGCCTCGAGCACCGCACTGGGGAAGGGCCCGGAGGCTGTGGGCTTGCTGGCAAAGACAGAGGGGACAGGGGGCCCTATTCCACACATTTGCCAGCTCTGCCCTAAACAGAGGGGATCCCACAAGAATAGCGGACATAAAAACAACAGATCATGAAGGAAAGCACCTGGATCTTGACACCCCAAGAGGCTCCCAGGGGTGCAGAGTGCGGAAGCAGGGCCTACCTGGCTCTCTCTAAGAAAGGGTGGAAAGCAATGGGACACAAAGTAAGAGCAGGGAAGAACCAGCTGGTGGAGAGGCCTGAGGCTGAGCCCCAGGGCACGAGGGCTCCCGTCCCACTGCCAAGTGCGGGCGGACAGGTGGGAAGGTCCAATCCCAAGAGGGCACGCCGACTGGTGGAGGGAGACAGGCTGGCGAGAAGGTGTGCCCTGAAGGCTGGAGGCCACATCTCCCCCTCCCGTCAGTCACCCTGCAGGGAGGTGACAGTCAGTGACAGAATGACAAATCTCTTTCGTACACGGAGAGGCTCACAAGCTGCAGTAACTTCCGTTTGACAGAAAAAACAGATTCAGTGAGGCTAACTCAAGTGTCTCCCAGTGTGGTGCTCTGGACTCTCCATGCCCCCCAGCAGCCACGGCGGGGTCACTAATACACCTGTTACTGGGACCACAGAAGCACCTTCGCTGGTGTCCAAATACCCGCTGGGCAGCCAGCACTCACCTGAGAACCATGAGCCTAGGTCCCAAGGTTAGCAAATGGTAGAGGTTTTTAACCTGAACTCAGATTTACTGACTCTGGCTCACATGCTTTTGCTACTTGCAACGCCTGGCCGTCACTGGCTTCTGATCCCAGCCTTGGCCCCAAATGGACTGTGATGAGTGATAAAAGAGAGAAACCTTGGGATGTTCAGATCAAAGCCCAGCTCAAAGGTCAAGTTCAACTGGACCAACTTCCTCCCTGACTGGAGCACCAGTGTTTATGGCTCTTTAAACAGGGCCAATGGTCAGACCTCTTGCCTGTACCCCGGGAAGGGCAAGGGGAATGGAGGCTGGGTCTCTAGTAGGCTGAAGCGGGGGGGGGGAGCCTCCTAGGGAGGAGGACTGGAGGGAAACTTGAGGGATTAGGAAGTGTGTCTGATGAGGGCCCTGTGTCGGGAAGTCCCTTTCTGCCAAACAGGGAGAGGCGACACCTGGCTCAGCACTGGGTCTCAGCCATCTGGTCCCCAGAGGGTGGGGGCCCTGGAGCATGTTCAGAGCAGGAGAAAGACGCTCCAGGAGGGGCTGGCTCAGGTGGGAGGACAAAAGGAGTTGAGTCTGCACAGCCTGATGGGGCGAGGACTGAGAGGTGGGGGACAGACAGCTGCTTGCCATCAGAAAGGTGAGAACACGGGAGGACCGCAGGACTGGGAAGGAGCTCCCAGCTCCCTGGTCTGGGCAAGACAGCAGGGAACATCACCTCCCTTCCTGAGCCTCAGAAGGAGAAACGGGATGGACTAGGCAGTGCCGTTAAACTCCTCAATTCCTTTCTCGATGCTATTTCTAGACTCTCCATAGGACCAGCAGAAGTAAGCTGCAAATCTGGCCAGGAAGGGCTTAAGTCAGAAATCGGGACGCGGGGCCTGGCTCAGGAGTCATAACCTGGACTAGGAGACCCCGGGGGAGGCTCCGGGTGGATAAGCCTCTGCTAGCGTGAGCTGCGGTCCTGTGGAGCCCGCCTAGTGGCAGAAGGACAAGGCCCCTGCCCTCACTTGCTATGGTGGTGGCCGTGTCTACTGTTTCTCTCCCAAATTCACCCAACAGTCTCTGAGAACGAGGTTCGGGGCCAAAGCCCCTCCTGCCCAGGTGCCACCACACAGACACCTAGCCCTGATGCACAGCTCTCGGGGGGCTTTTCAGGAGTCTGAGGCCACTCTGGAAGCTCAGTTAGACTGGGTGTTCTGGGAGGGGGGGCTTACTGTTCTATTAGCAGCACCCTGCATGTGACCCAGAACATAAAAGGCTTACTGAATAAAGAGGCTTACTGAATGAATGAAAGAAAGAAGGGGGAAATTGGAAAGAACAGGAGGAAAAAAGTGACACGAAGCACCTCTCCCAGGTTCCCTGGCCCCCATGTAATGGGAGCCACTGGACAGATGTCAGAAGACAGAGCTGGCTCCAAGAAGGTGTGGGAAGCAGGCCCCTGTGTCTGTGACCAGGCCAGCCCAGAAGCCAGTCCCATAGCCACTTGGAATGTTCCAGAATATAGCAAAAGATCATGGGTGCCGGGCAGCCAGGGAGCAGGGTGGGCCCAAGCCCCGAGCCCCAGGCTACCTTGATGGTGGTGGTGCTGCGCTCCTCGTACTTGCACTCACACAGCAGGCAGTAGGCCTCCACGTCGTGGCCGGGTACCGGCATGGGCTCCACCACGTGCAGGCAGTTGCTGGAAAGAGACAGACGGGGTGGTGGGAGCAGGGCCCCCGGCAGCAGGCAGCCCGGGAGGGGAGGGCAGGGCAGAGGAGAAGGGGCTCCCAGGGAGTGGGGAGAACCCCCTTCCCAACCCACCAGCACCTGTCCCCGGCCCACCCGAACCAGCTCTCTGAAGTGCACCTACGGTGCCGGCACCAAAAATGCCAACATTTCCCAAACTGCTGCCCTCAGCTGCCTTCTTATCTCATGCCGTGCACCCCTCCCCGCCGCCCCGACTCCCATGGGCTCATTCAGTCCAAAGATTTCCAAGTCAGAGCTGGGGAGGCCCAGATTGGAGTCTTAGACTTGAATCCCTAGTCAGGACCGCCCCCGGCACCCTTCCATCCAGCTGCCCGCCAGTCACCACAGGAGCGGCCCACAGGGACGCTCCACGGCCACCCTCCCGTCCCTCTGCCCCAGCTCCCTGGGCCGGGTCCCCAACGGCACAGAGCTCCCCTACCAACCACTCCGCTGACCAGGTCCAAACCTGGCAATCACCTTTGACACTACCTTCTCCTCTCAGCTATAAATCCACCAAGTGCCAGGGATTTTTACCCCCTTAAAAATTTCTAAGACCCACCTTCTCTACTGGCTCCCACTGCCCTGTCTTAGCTCAAGGTCTCATCACCGTGTCCCCGGCCCAGCGCCCCGGGCTCCCCACTGCCCTCGCGCCCCTCACCTAGCCCTGTGCCTCTACTACCCTCCCCACCCGGGAGCTCAGTGGTGTTAGCCAAATGAAACTCCTGTCACATCACCTCCCCCCGCTAAAAGCCCAAAGCTGGCCAAGGTCTCCCACAGGGCCTCTAGGGTGAGGCCAAATGAGCTGCTCCCCCTGGGGTACCCACGGCTCCACCTCACTCCAGGCTGCCTCCCTGTCCAGTCCCATCCCCTGGCACACCCCACCCCGCTCCCCATCCTCCAGCTCTGCTGATCTTCTAGACTCTTCTCTGAATGAGCCGTGCTCCCCTCCTTGACACATCTCCTGCCTTCTGCAGGAATACACGGTTTTGCCACCTCCGTCCCACGCTTGGAATCCTACGCATCCTTCAAGGTCCAGCCCAAAGATGTGACCTCTCCCCACGGCAGCCAGCTCCCCACACTCAACTCTATCGCAGCGCTGACCCCCTGTGCTGCATTCCCACCTTTACTTGTATGGTCTCCCCCGGCGGACGCTACGTTCGTCGAGGACAGAGGCCATCTCCAGCTTCCCAGCACCCAGTGCAGGGCTGGCAGCGCAGGGCTCTGGGAACAAGCTCAGGGAACAAGCTGCTGCCAAATGAGTCCCGTTCTAATGGCGTACCCACTTAGCCCGCCTTTACCTCACAGTGCTCTCGACCCAGGAGAGCTAAAGATCACAGGCCCCGCATTTAAAAAGAGGGAAGTGAGCTCAGGAAGGCAAAGTGGCATTGCCACCACGATGAGGTCCGGACCCAAATCCCGATCCTTGGCTCGTCTTTCCACGTGACACTGTCTCAGCGGGGCCTGTGCCTGTGCTCAGCTCTTTACTTGGGCCTCTTGATCGGGTTCAGCCTTCTTCAGATCAGCAGGTTTCAACAGGTACAGTCCGCAGACCACACACGCAAGTGACCTCGAGAATGCACCTTGATCATTACCACTGGGGAAAGTCAACCCCTCTCAGAGGTTCGCAGAGGTAAACCAGGCATCCCACTGCAACGGACGGTCAGGTCTGGGGCCCTGGGCCTATGTCCTCCTCTCTGGGATACAGGAGTTGTACCACTTGACAACCCTGACAGGAATCCTGCAAGAGCCAATGGGGAGAACTTGGGAGACAGTTCCATTAAGGGTAGTAGGTGGAAACTGAGGCTGGGCAGGATTCTAGGACCCAGCGACAACACTGGCGACACCCCGGGAGCGGTGGGGGTGGGGGCTAGACCTGCAGTCAGCAGGTCAAATGTACAGCAGGGTGACTACAGTTAACAACACCGTATTATAGGTCTTTCAGGTCTCTGAAAACAACCAGGCCTGTTCTGAGCTATCCCAAGGTCCTTCTAGACTCAGGCTGGGTTTCTGGCTGAGGCATCAAAGATGTGTGATGTGAAGATCAGGTGTGGAAATAAACATGAGATGTCCTCTAAAAGCCTCTGTTCCCCTTAAAAATCCAGTACGTAGCCTACGTGATTTTCCCTAAACCCCGATGATTCCAGTTTCACCTCTGGATAACAACTTCAACACATCACTCCTTGCTGCGTGAGTGGGTCTTCTACGTAACTAAATGCACCATTACCAGACCCCACACGCTGCTACCTCTGGGAGGAGCCGATGGACAAGGCCAGATTCATGCGCAGCCTGGTCATCACTGCTGGGACCGTCTCTTCTCCAGAAGTCCCTACAAGCCTTCTGAGGACCAGATGCCTCCCTTTCTGAGCCACACGGGGTCCTGGTTTGGAAGGCCACGCCAATGCTGCAGTGCGATGTGTGCACTCTCCGCCAAGCGCAAGCAAGGTGGGGTGGCAAGGGCAGCCGGGAGGAGCGAACCCAGGTTCTTCAAACTGGAATCGTGTTACTCACGGGAATAGGCTGTAAAGGGGTTAGGGGAACAGTAAACAGAAAGCTGAATCTTTCTGCTGTCTCTGGCCTCTTGAGAGTCGGTAAAACCCTAAACATGATCTTGCTCTCTAAGGATTTCATTTACCTTCCTGGGGATCGGTGGTATTGAAAGACTCCAAGGACTGGTCAGAGGACATTAAAGGAGAGGTCGATAAGCTGGGAGAAAGATAAGCTGGGTTTAATTCTCTGCTCCGCCACGTATTCTGTGATTGTAGGAATTTATTTCTCCCTTCTGGGTCCCCGTTTCCTCAATTATAAATGGAGGCTGAACTCATCAGTGTCTTTCAGGCTTTGTTCTCTTAGGTACCCCAGGAACCACTGGGCCAGAACGTGGTGGAGGGAGGGGCTGAGGGACGGGTCCCTCTCGGCACCAGGTCTGATTTTGTTTCCCATGTTGTGTTTCCAACCCAGATTCTGTCTCTAGAAAGGTTCAATTTCTAGAAGTCGGAAAGACACTGAACTAACCTACTTGGTTCCTTCCCATTCTGGGACTGCCTCTGCAACACATCTCCTCGGCAGACCCACCAACAGAGCATCATTGTTAGGGTTTCTGCCCTCCTACAGGCGTGTGGTTATGAACTCCCAGCACTAGATGGCAGAACACCAGCAGCGCAGGAACATAAATGCAGTGACCTGTGAGGCCTGCAGCTGAGACAGTTCTGGCTTCGCTCCACACAACAAAGGATGCGAGTATTCCCCCAGCCGTGGACCCAGGGGACAGCAAAGTGGCGACACTGGCAGAGACCTGAAGATATAACTGCTCTCCTCTGACCCTTGCCAGAGGGCTGGAAGACCACACGTCAAGCCCCCCCACCCCCACCCCTACCGGGGTGTTGCCAATGTTGTCGCTGGGTCCAAGAATCCTGCCCAGCCTCAGTTTCCACCTACTACCCTTAATGGAACTGTCTCCAAGTTCTCAACTTAAGATTGTTCATTGGGTAATCCCCTAATTCTGACTTCCAAGGAGAAGAAAATAAACTATAGCCTGAGCAGGACTCCTTTCTCTGTGGGCATCCACGCTTGGGTTTGCAGGCCATCCTATCACCCCAGACCAGAGACAGGGCTACTAAAATCTGCTGTTGCCTGTGGGAGGTAGCCTCACTATCTGCTGTGGGGCTCAGTCTATCAATTTATTTACTGATGTTATCTGAGTTATAACCGCAAGATACAAGGAGGTCACAGGGGCTCCTCCCAGGACTTCACGTCTTAGGGCTTTGTGAATCCAGCAGGACAGGCGAAACCAGAGGGAAACACTCTGCTGCGTTGTGGGAACCAGAGGAGCTCGTTTTCTGGGGCTGTGCTCTAAGTCTTACAATGATTACCTATGTGGCCTCTAACAAGGCATGGTAATATATATTACTATCAGCTAACATTGATATAGCACTTACTACATGCCAGGCATTGTCCTAAGGGCTCTGACATGGGCATGTTCAAGCACACACACTCAATACTCAATATACTGCCATCCATCTTACAGATGAGGAAACGGAAGTACACGGGACATGAAGTCACTCATCACATGATGAACAAGGGGCCAACCTGGATCTGAAGCCAGGCAGGCCAGATCCCAAGTCCGCACATCTAGCGACCCTGCCTCTCGGAAAATCACTCAGACTATCTCAGAACTGGAGAAGTTCCAAATTCCCAAAGGCTGCTCGTAATCACCTAAGGAACTTTAAGAGAACGTTACTCCTGCTCCCCCTGCTCCCCAGTATTTCCTGAATCCGAATCGTAGGGGGAGGAGATCGAATGTACAGGAGGGAGACTACAGTTAACAACACCATATTATATGCTTGAAAGTTGTAAAGAGAGTAGATCTTAAATGTTCTTAACACACACACGCAAACGGTAATTATGTGAGGTGATGGAGGTATTCATTAACCTTATTGTGGTAACAATTCACAATATGTATGTGCATCAAACCATCAGGTTGTACACCTTAAACTTACACAAAGTGCTATGGCTAATGGATCTCAATAAAGCTGGGAAGAAAGAAAACAACAAAACCCCAAATCTTGGGGGCAGGTGGTGCTGGGAATCTGTATTTTCTCAAAGCCCACCTGATGATACTAACCTACAACCAAGGAGGGGCCCTGACCTGGACACCCCCTCCCTGTGATGCAAATCCCTTCCACAGTGCCCTTAGCAAAGAATCACCCCATCTGTGCTCTCAGGTCCCTTGAAGGATGGGGCTTCCCAGCTCTTAAAACAGCCTGGATTAAAAATGCTTCCTTGGCTCACGCTTATATCTGTTTCCCTGAAGCTATCCTTAAAGCTGTTTCTACTGACTCCAATTCTACACCAAAAAACCACATTGAACATAACTGATACCCACTCCCATGTACCCCACCTCCCAGAGCATGCCTGCCCTGCTCTTGGTCTTTGTCAGCCAGCAGATATCCCCACGCCCTCTCCTCGTCGAGCCCCCCTTAAGCCACTCCTTCTAGGATATGGTGTTGAAACTTCCCTTCACCAAGCTAGTCTCCTTTCTCTGAATGAATCTGTGCTTCTTCTTCTCCTTTTTAAAGGGAAGCATCCAGAAATGAAATTTGGGACTCCAGGAGTATAACTGAAATTTCCTCTTTGGGTTTTAGTCTCTGCAATTATAAAAAGGGAACACTACCTATCCCATCTACCTTACAAGGCGTTAATGAGTCTGGTACAGAATAATACACATAACAGAGCTTTGCAAAAATACACAAAAAGTCCCATCGTATGTGAGCATACTATCTACCTCACCCAATCTCTCTACTACCATTCTGCATTACTAATAAACACCCAAATCGAAGCAAAGTAACAAAATCCACTTCTCTGACCAGGAACCCCTCAGCTAGAATTCAACACACCTGGGTTCTGTTCCCAACTGGCTGTGTGACCATGGGCAAAACAGTCCTTTGTAGGCTCTAGTGGAAATGAAGGGGCAAGCTTATCCTCCAGGGATCCAAGAACCCCAGTAAACACTTGTAATTTCAACTAGTTGTAGCAGCCACAAGCCAGGCTGTACAGCGCCTTACCAGTCCTTCTGTGACACATTCTGGTTGTAAATGTGCCCACTGATGTTTCTATATGGTGGACAGATGCATTTGCAACGAATATCTTCAGAGCTCTGGAAGAGAAAGTACATGGTAGGCAGGTAGGCAGGGCCCCTGGCTTCAGGTTCTAGCAAGACTTGTTCATACATGAATGCTCCTGACCTTTCCCATCCCCAAGTTCAGTAAGGAATGACTTCTGCAAAAATGATGCTAATATCACAGGATTCTCAAGACAGAAACTGTCCAGGTGGCAAATGAGAATCACAGAAAGCTGCCTAGGGCTGCCAGTCCCCAGTAGGATGCTTGGGAGTGGGGGTGTGTGTAGCAAGCAAAGTGACAGCCCTCTACTCTGGGCCCCACACTTGCCGTGTGCACCTCTGCCCAGCAACCTTGATGGTGAGCCCCTTCCCGCCCCCATCCCAACTCCAACTTCCTAGGTTAGGAATGGGGAAAGGTAAAGGGCAGGGGTACCCAAAAAGCGGATCATTTCCATGGGACTACCCAAGCAATCCCTTAGAAAGTTCCTCCTCTCTGAAATGAGTAAGAGACACCACCACAAATATTTTCATTCCAATCAGGAATTCCCCAGAGAGACTGGAATCAAACCCTCAGGCTCAATCTCACTTAAAGCCTTGATGTCCTTCAGAATTTTAAATTCCATAGAGCTACCCAAGCCCAGTTCTGGGTCATTTACCCCTAAAGAATGGAAATTTTTCAGGAGTCCCAGCGCTTAGGTTGGTCACCCTCCGTGTAACAGAAACTTCCAGCTGTGCAGGACTTCGCACTTAAGGAGCATTTCCACAAACTGTATTACTGGATTCTCCTTAAGTAGAGTAGCAGACATTATAAGCACTCCGATTTTACCCAGGAGCAAAGGAAGGTATGGGGAACTTAGATAACTCCTCCAAACACAAACTCCCTCGCTGGAATCTCATCTAGGTTTCCACTCGTATCCAGAACGTGTGCTCTGTACTCCACCCCTCTCCCTCACTCCACCCTTACGCGAGAAGGCCTGCAGTCTGGTGCCCGCGAGAACACTTCCCAAAACTACAGTCCGTTGATGAGTGAGGGGCAGGCCTGGAGCAGCAGCTACCTCTGGGGGGGCGGGGGGAAGCCCTGTCCGCAGGCAGGGTGGTCGTGCACGAGGTGCTGCTGGCTCACCTCCCTCACCTTGTTGGCTTGAGCTGGGGGCAACAGCAAGCACCCGACCACGGCCACCACACATAGGAGCTTCATGCTGTTCGGGCTTGGGAGGCCAGCCAGACCGGACACCTGCATAAGAGATAGAAGTCGGGAAGGCGAAGGGGGCCACACCATACCCCGCACTCTCGGCCCTTTAGCCCTCCCGCCAGGACGTAGGAATGCGGTTAGGAGCTGGGTTCAGCATTCCAGGGCCTCCTAAAACCCTGTGGCCAAATACTGCCTTCCGTCTCCAAGTCTCCGGCTCTCCATCGCCCACCTGGAGCGCCCGGGAAGAGGGGGCCTCCCGGGGACTCCGCGGCCGGGGGCCTCGAGTTCCTAGGACCAGGCCCGGCTCTGACCCTCGCGGCGCGTTTCACCGCCCTCCGCCATCTCCATCTCCGCCTCCGCCCGCCCGCCCGCCCGGCAGCTCCTCCCCACTCAAGGCCAGATGCAAACTTTCCGTGTACAGGCTGGGAGCCCTGATCCGACCGCCAAGGCCAGTACCCACCTAATCAGGGGTCTCGGGCCGGCCTGGGACCCCCGGGTGCCCCAGAGACCCCCTTACCCCTCCCCCAACGCCCGGTCCGCTAACCTGCGAGCCCCGCCGCAGTCGCAGAAGACCCAGCTGGTCCCGCCCCCTCCCGGCCTCTATTGGCTGCTGGAGCAGCCTCTCAGCCCAACCTCGCTATCGCCAAGGTAACAAGGCCCACCTTCGCCTGGGCTTAGAGGCTCCCGCGCAAGGGAGAGGAAAGCATTTCTCAGACTCGACCAAACAAGAAAAGGGAGCGTCAACTTTCCTGACAGAAACAGGGAAGGGTCTTGCCTTTGTGTGGCCTGTAAAACTCCCACAGCAGTGCTTCGCCCCTCCTCGTATTACACAACTCGGGGGGTCCGGAGAGGGGCTAAGTTTGTTTCATCTTGTAGTTTTATAAAGAGAAAGCACTCTGTACACAATAAGCTAGTAACAACAACAATAGCCTTAAAAACCCAGTAAGGGGCTTTGTCCTCACTCCCAGTCTGGAAATGTTAGTTAGGGATGCACATCTTGGCTGCACAGGACTTTACCAGGCCCCACCTCTGCTCTCCCCTCACCCAGCACCCTGAGGAGGAGAAGGAAACCGGCGTGGGCAATGAGGTGGTGGGCTGGGCCTGGTGCACAGCCACTCTCACCGGGTCTCCCTGCCCCCAGCGCTTTCTGGACCTGGCAGACTGGGGCAAGGTGTGCAAGGCCAGCGTGGGGAGTGGGAAGCTGGTGGGGAGGGAAGGAAGTCTGGGGTGCTGAGGGGCAAGTGTGAACGTCTTGCAGCTGTGAAGGAAAGAGGAGCCCTTTGAGTCCAGGGTACCAGACGCAGAGAGAGGACACCTAAGCTTTGGCCCTGGCTTTGCCACTAAGCAGTTATGTTACCCTGGAAAAGCCACCTCCCCTTTCTGGGCCTCAGTTTCCTCATCTGTAAAATTGGTTGGTTGGATACTAAGGTCCCTTTCAGCTTTGAAATGTTGGGATTCCTGGGAGTGGCCCACACTTGCTGTTGGTGGCTGGAACCAGCATATGGGCTGGGCGTAGGCATAATTAAACCCCTCTCGGGCACTGTGGACGGCATCAGGCTCCTTCTGTGGAGGTAGTGGGGTTTATATTTGTTTCTCCTACACATGTCTTATGCCTCTTTAATTCCTCACCGCCTGGCAGACCACCCTACCCTTGGTGGGTGCTCAGGAAACATGTGCTAAATGGAACTGGGTAGAATTAAATTCAACCTCATTGGACAGCAGGCAAGAGGCACAATGGTGTGACAAAGTCATAGCTCAGTGAGCTCAATGACTAGGGCACGAATCCTGGTTCCCCCCACCTTCCTTGTTGTGAGGATGTGGGTTGTTGGCTTCTCCTCTAGGGGAGCTTCAGTTTCCACATCCATAAAATGGGGCTAATATTACCTACCTTTCAGGGTTGTTATGAGGGTATAATGACTTGGAACAGGGGCTAGTACAAAGTGGGGGAGGGATCTATAAATGGAAATGTTAGCTCATTCTGGGGGTCAGAATGTCTGCTTTGGTGAATAGGCTGGGGCAGAGACAAGATGCCTGCCACATGGGAGCAGAAGGGACAGTTCAGGCCCTGGAAAAATACCCTCCTTCTCCCAATTCATCTGCTCTATGGAGATGAGGATCTTCACGGGGACAAAAGCAATGGGGCTGAGTCTCGGTCACCTCCGAGGCATGCCCTTCTGATACCTAATACGAAAATTGCCCAGTGCTGAGTTCACCGTCTTGCTCATCTAATGGAAGCCAGGCCTCCATCATCCTGCTTTTCTCAGGCCCCAGATTGTGGTGGCAAATTATCTTTGACTCCACCACCTCCTGTCTCCACATCTAGTCTGTCTAGGTGTCCCTGTGGGACAGCTATTACCCCCCTGCCTACATCCTGCCACAGCCACACTTTGCTCCCTGAAATATACTCCCTGTCCTCCTGCTTCCATCCCGTCTTCCTCCAACCCTGTTTTCAGCATAACGCTCATTGCTCCGTAATCCCCGATAGCACCCTGTCGCATCAAATCCAGACCACTCCACCTGGCATCCAAGCCCTGGCCGCCATTTCTGCCCTCCCCCACTCCATCACATCTCTGGTTACTGCCCCCCAGCTGTGCTTCCCATATTTGACTTGGCTCACACCTCACACCTTCCAGCCGCTGCCCCAAGTGCTTCTCTTCCCCAGAAACTTTTCCCAGGGAGTTCGAGTTGACCCAGGGCACCTCATCCCCACACATTCCTCCCTGTGCCCTTTGTTTAAGAACTAGACCATTGAGGTGAGTCTGAACCTATTTATTCAATTCAATTCCACAAACATGCCCTGAGCACTGTCAGGATGCCCCAGGGGATACAACAGACAAGCCAAATGTGAACCCTGCTTTCAAGAAGTGTATAGTCTCACAGAGGAAAAATCATATGGCCAGGATGTAACTTAAAACAGAAAGTGAGGTGTCATAGAAGAGTTTTCCCCCTCAAAATATTGTTGAGCACTGTGTGCCAGGCAGTGTGCTAGTTGCCAGGGATGTCAGTAAACAAGACCAACTCTGTCCCTGCTCTCGTGGACCTTGAAGCTTATCACAGGAAAATAACCAATCCACACGTAATTACAATTCCAGGTGATAAGAGCTATGGTGGGGAAGATCTTCAGAGGCTGGTGGGAAACCTAGACCGAGGGCCAGAGGAGCCCAGAATGGTAGAGAGGAGTCTTTGAAGGTAGTGGGGGCTACTTGAGCTGGGCCAGAGTGGAAGGCAGAAGAGTGGCCTTGCCCAAAATGTCCACATCCAAATCCCTAGAACCCGTGACTAGGTTACCTCCCATGGCAAAAGGGATTTTGCAGATTTAGTTAAATGAAGCTCGTTGGGCTGGGGAGAGTAGCCTGGATTATCCAGATGAGCCATGTCTGGTCAGATGAGTCCTTAAAAGAGGGAAACCTTTTCTGGTTGTGGTCAGAGAAAAAGATGAGACAGTGGAAGCAGAGTTGGAGAAATTGAAGATGGAAGGGGCTGTGAGCCAAGGAATGAGGGCAACATCTGAAAGCTGGTAAGGGCAAGGATCAGATTCCCCTCCTTGAGCCTCCAGAAGGAACTTCATTTTAATTCAGGGATATATGTGTAGACTTCTGACCTACAGAACTGTAAGATAATAAATTTGTGTTGTTTGAATCCACTAAATTCATGATAATTCCTTACAGCAGCAATAGAAAACTAATAATGGCCAGGAGGATGGGCAAGATTTGGAACAGAATTCAAGAGCATGATGATGGTGGGAAAGGACATTCTGAGTAGAGGGGGTGTAGGAAGAGCAAAGAGATGGCACTGGGAACACACAGGAGGGGAAGAGCAAATGGTTGTTTGGCTCAAACTCAGGGCAAATGAATGGGAAGGGAGGGCAGAAAGATAAACCAGAACCTCATGACAGCGGAGGGTTGTTGTGAGCCAGGGAATGAGCCCAGGCCCCTGGCTCGGGGGTCGCGGACAGGGCTAGGACCAGGCAACCTCAGGATTGTGCTCCCTCCAGCAGAATGAAGCTGAATGAAGCTCCGAGATTCCTGCTGCTTCCTCCTGGGACTATTGGTCTCCATCCTGCACCTGGCTCCCTACTCCCAGATTTGGAGCTCTGGGACTTAGACCACAGCCCAGACCCTTGGTTTCCCTCTCTGGTACCTGCCTTTACCCCAACAACCCTAATATCAGTTTGGCCTGAAAAGGCCAGGTCTTGGCATCTGTGCCAGAGCTGAAGTTCTGGGGTCCTCCTCACTCCCTGTCCCCACTCTTGGTTCTCCTGGGGAAGGACTGGACTGCTGTCATCACCCCCAAACTGTGCCTACTCTCCTTGGCATCAGCTACATGGCCCCGCTCTTCCTCTACTCCCCAGCAAAGCTTATCTATCCAGTGCCTTACAGCCTCCAGCTCCTATGAGTGGATTAACTTCCCAATTGGTGTACCGGCACCCATGCTTTAGTCCCCCCAGGGAATAGCTACACTAAAGCGCCATCCAACCTAAGCAGAGAATAAAGCTCAAGGGCTAGAATTCAGACACTTGTAACAGGCTCCCAGGGGTGGCGATTGGTGATTTGGAGTACAGAGAAGCCCTACTTAGATCCACCTCTAATGGGAAGTCATCACTCCGCCCCTAGATGGCAGGTCAAGGGCCCAGGGATGTCCTTGAGATGGGGTGGGCACCATCCTCAGATACCCTGAGTAGGTCTGCTCTCTCTGACCACAGCAGGATTTCTCAGGCGTCAGGGAGCACAGAGCTGTGGGCAGAGGGTGCCCTGCTGTGTAGCACACTCTCCCAGCTCAGCATCGGCCTGAACATGTGTACTCTCTTTGTCTGGGCCCCCAGAGTTACCGTTTCACAGACAGGCTGCTCTCCCAAAACCAACCGACTAAGACGACACCAGTCAAAGAAGAATTATATTTAACTGAATAAAACTCTGAATGAAAGCATTATTCTATCTAAAGTGTAATACATGACATTAACTTTGCCCAGATACACACACACACACACACACACACACATGCATATGTATGTAGTACACACACATTTAAATTTAAAATTTAAATTCTGGACCCACTTTATTTTTTTTTAATTTTATTTATTTATTTGACAGAGAGATACATAGCGAGAGGGGAACACAAGCAGGGCGAGTGGGAGAGGGAGAAGCAGGCTTCCCGCAGAGCAGGGAGCCCGATGTGGGGCTCGATCCCAGGACCCCAGGATCATGACCTGAGCCGAAGGCAGATGCTTAACGACTGAGCCACCCAGGCACCCCTGGACCCACTTTATGGCAGGCATTCTCCCAGCAGTTATTAATGAGGCACCATTCTGTGTGTGACCTTGCACTACGTGGTCCCTCCCCCTCTGTTGTATCTTTCTTGGCTCAGCTTCTGCCACCATATGTCCTCTTCTGGATTCAGTCTTGACAGCACCGCAGAAGTACAGAACAATAGTTTACTTTGGGTTTCAATTTTCTTTTTTTTTTTCCAAAGATTTTATTTATTCATTTGAGAGAGAGAGAATAAGAGTTAGAGGGGAGAGGGTCAGAGGGAGAGGCAGACTCCCCGCTGAGCAGGGAGCCCGATGTGGGACTCGATCCTGGGACTCCAG